TTAAATAGTGAGGCGCCTCTGTCAGTGCGCCCCAGGGCAGCTGTGGCTACATCGTAGCTTATCACCATCAGTGTGTGAATGTGTGTGAATGGATGAATTATACACTATAGTGTAAAGCGCTTTGGAGTCCTTACTCGGAGAGGCGCTATACAAGTGCGGATCATTTATCATTTATAGTGTTGATCAGGCAGAGCTTTGTTGCCAGCGTTCCACTGCATAATGGCTTCAAACATGTATATAAAAGTGTTAGTTTTTACGTAAACCATTGGATGAAATCACACAAACTGACTGAGCTCTAGTTAAGGCGCTTGCAATAGTTTGTGTATGTGTATGTGCGTGTGTGTGTGTGAACATGTGTGTGTGTATGTGTGTGTACGTTTGTGTGTGTGTACGTGTGTGTGTGTGTGGGGGGGGGGGGGTACATTGGAACTTTGTCCCCCCCAGTTTGAAAATCATATCTGTCCCCCTGGTAGAAGGGATCCAGTGTACTTTTACCACAAAGACGTCAGAAAAATCTGGAAAAATGGCCAGACAACTGAAAATCATCAATGCTTGTTAGTGACAATAAAACAATTGATTAAAAAAATTAAAGCATCTAACTTTCAGACAGACAGACAGACAGACAGACAGACAGACAGACAGACAGACAGACAGACAGACAGACAGACAGACAGACAGACAGACAGACAGACAGACAGATAGATAGATAGATAGATAGATAGATAGATAGATAGATAGATAGATAGATAGATAGATAGATAGATAGATAGATAGATAGATAGATAGATAGATAGATAGATAGAAAATGAGTCATCGTTTTCTAGTCTTTACTATACAAAACTACAGTAAAGATGTCTAGACAGCCACAACCATCCTAACAATATTATGAGTATCAAGATATAAAAACATAAGTAAACTATAACAATTTTCTTTTTCTGTTTTTTTTTTTTTTTAAGGGACAAAAATCCTCTGACTCAAAGTTTAGAGGGAGGTGGCCATAGAGTCAGTAGAGCCATCTCCCAGTACTTCCATTAATAGAAACCTGGTCTCTGACCAGAATAAAGGCTCTGTGACATCCAAGCCCCCCTGTGGACTTCTAGAGGCAAACACACGTGGGCTAAATGTCACTCAGCAGGGTCCCATCATTTAAGAGTAAATCTAATTTTCCTCCAGAATGCACCATTCTCAGCCTCGATACATCATCGGTAACGTTGTCTCTCACCGTAGTAATGAATAAAACATTACAGAAATAGGTTGCTTCAGGTATAAGCTACCTGTTTGAAATAAGTCGTGTTTGTTTTGACCCAAGCAAACAGCATTCTGTTGAAATTTCCAGTGAATAGGAAGGGTGGTCCTGTATGATGCTAAAGACACCGGGGGAGGGGGAATGCAATAATGCATAAACTGACAGATGGGATCCTTCTGTGTCCCCAATCTGCAGTAAACTATGTTCTTACATCAACGTGCTGCTGATTTTACATTTACAGGCTTCGCCTGTCCAATTCAATTTGAGTGGTTGAGAAGCAGACCTCCAATCTGCAGATAAACCTCACATACGAAAAGGTCATCAGGAAGTATCTCCCCTACTAATCAAATCACCCGAAAGGCAAGGTCTGATCTTTTACAATCTGGTGAGATGAGAGGCCGGTCAGGAAAATCAACATCAGGCCTCTGGGGCGTCCTCGGGGCAGCCTGCACCTGTCTGTCACTCAGCATTCACTGCTGAAGGTAAACACCTCCATTTACAGGACAGCTCATCTACAAGCAGCTTGTTTTGATCTGGGTGGCGGCTTCCCAGTTTGTTCCTGTTGTCTGTTAAGCTTTCAACTCATCGGGTTAGATCTACAGAGAGACCTTCACATAACATACTGGTTGTCAAAGAAACTTCACTTGTGATCCTGAAAGTTTCTTCGGCTGGAAGCAGGGGGGGGAGGGGGGGGGGTCAAATTATAAACTGTAGTTGGGACAATCATAAGTGTTGTTAAGGTCCCATGGGCATCATTGGGCATGTTCAACCTGTCACAGTCTGAGGTGAGCCCTTCTCCTGTCTAACTGCGTCTGAGACGATTTTGCAGGTGGGCGGTGCTGGAGAGCAGAACAGCTGCAGCTAACCTACCATCAACCTGGCTGCATATTAAGAGAGGAGTGAGACACCTTTAACTCACCAGGTGATGACTCACTTTGGGTAGCTCTCGTGCCACTAACGTGTCTCCAGTATAACTCTAGTATCTTGGTTTTGGATTTTATGGTTTAACTGCTCTAGTCACCACCTCAGGCCGCATCTCCTCCTCCCCCTCAGATCAACCCGCTCTCCCACTGCCCACCCACCTGGACCACTTGGACTCTTGCCACTCGCTGCACCCACGCCGACTTCCTGGATCCACCTCAGGCCCGGTATCCCTCCCTCTCTTTCCCTACCTCCCCTTCCATAGTAAGACTCTGCCCTCAAGTTAACTCACGGCTGATAACCTGAGATTAAAGACGGTTTTCTTCAGACGCTGCTCAGATCTGCAGTCCCTCTCACCGACGTCAGTACACCCTTAAATCAGCCTTATTTTTATAAACTTTGCTTTTTATTCCTTACCTGTGGTCCTGTGCCGCATTCTGCATGTCTTGGGTTAGGTCTCTATCGCAAAACATGACAATACCTGGCAGAGATGGGAAATTGTGGCATTACACGCCGTCTCCATATTGTGTATTTTTGTTTTTCTGCTTGGCAACAAAACCAGGTGATTTCAATTAGCACAGTGAATGAACCTGGTTCAGTTGCTGAGCAGAACAAAAACACGACATGGAGATGACTTGTTGATGCCACAATTCCCATATCTGATACCGGGCACTATCAAGTGTTCTGAGTGATCCAGTCTAAGCAGATTCACGTACATGTGTAGCTGGGTTTCTGTAAAACCTAATATCCTTCCCCGCCCAACTAGGAAAAAACTCTGGTCCACACCACCATGTTTTCAGCAAAAAAAAATCCAGCACATCGTGAAGCAGACTCATAGGCATGCCAAGCATGTAGGTGGCAGTAGTTCCCCAAATCCTTGTCATCTCAGTTGAAAACCATTCCTTGGACAAGCAATAACCGTACTGTTGTCCAGGAGGATGTGAACCCATTCTTGCTGCAAGCCATCAGCACTAACCACTGCTCCACTGTGTAGCCTGCATTTCCTAATTATTAGACCTTAATGTTCTCCTGAATTGTTTGTGTTTTGCCGGTTGTGACTGAATGTGGTGAGCAGTTTGATCCCAGGATCCTGCAGGCCACATGCTGAAGAGACTGCTCCCTGAAAGTTGGTTGTTGTTGTTGCTGTTGTTGTTGCTGGCTCCCTTAAAAATGGCAAATAACTGCAGACACTTTGTCACCGAGGTACTTTTATCATTTCTGCCTCATTTGTCTTTAAAAATATTTACTCTCTTAAATTCAACTATGCCTACAACACAAATTCAAACAACCTGGTTTGCAAATCGTTTAAGAAACAGCTTGCTTTATTTTACATGACTATTCATTAATGGATGGCAGAAATAAAAATAAAAAATGATGCATTTCATGGGGACTTGGGGAAAATAATGAAAGCACCCAGAAGCAAAAGCAAAGAAGTTGTTTGCAGCGATTCTCTGAATAGAAAATGTATTTGAAGACCTGGGAATAGTGGAGTAATAAACAAACATCCACATAATAAACACAAGAGCACAACCTGCTGCTTTTGCTTGAGCTCATGCTTCCTAGTGAGTGATGGCCTTGATACAAGCTTTAATGTGTGCCCTAAAAAGGCTGAAAGAGAAAAAAACACACACATCTGCCGTGTTTAGGTAAGCTGCTGTTGCTATGGTTACAGATCAGCACTTGCTAAACATTTGTGTGTCAAGCTATCATTGAGACGGAGCACTCCAGCTGCACGCATACACAGAGAGAAGCGTTGGCGTTTGAATAAAACAGAATGACAGGCTGGTAGTGGAGGTTGCTTCTGCTGGGAAGATGTTACGATTGACAGTCAGGGCAAGGGGCCACTTGAATGGAACGGTGCTAGTTTTAGACCAAACGGGGAAATGCCAATGCAACTTACAAGGTCTGACATGGACAGGAAAAATAAATTAGAAAAATCTTTCAGATTTCCCTTGCAATCTCTCTAATAAAAATCTTCGTGATTGTAGGTTGCTTTTGTCCTTTGAATAGGAACTGATTATTAATATTCCATATCAGACTAGAAAAGTGGAGCCTACTCCTCAACTGGGATTCGTGATTTACAGCCTCAAATGCCAAGCCAACTGGAAATGCTGCACCACATTTAAGGTGGTGAGAGAAAGTGGGATCAAGCCTCGAGGACTGCGGCAAGCCTTGGCATGGCGCTCCCACTCATGCCATTTCATTTCATCATCTGTGGGTCTTGAGATTTGTGATGCCAAATGCTAATAGCCAAGATCATCAAATGCCAGAGCTAAATTAAAAATAACATCAAAACAGTCCTCGACAGAGTGATAGCTTGCTCATTCAGGCAAAAACAAATATTTATTTAAATGCAAATAAAAAATGACAAAGAAAAGCCAACATATGGTCAGAGAAGCCTTACGAAACACTGTCAGACTCGCACCATGGCAACCAATTCCACTGACCTGATGCAACAGCTCAACTACATGTCCTTGTTGTTGCATCCGTTTCTCTCTGCTGTCTGCAGACTTTATGGAAGATATGACCTTAATACACAATAAACCTCCTCACTTGTTGCACTGGCTTTGCTGAGAAATAAACCACTAAGGTATGCAGGAGTGGCTCTATCTGGTTCAGACTAGCAACGGTTAATTCGAAGATCCTCCCACCATGGCAGATTTGTGGCTTCCCCAAAGCAAGAAACTCCTGAGCATCATGTTGTTTGTGTCGTGATTACCAAAACCTTAACAAGCCAACTAAGCAGTGAGAAACCAGAGTTTTAACAAGGTAGTTTCTCACCAGCAGTTTGCCAGAGCTGACAAAAGGATGGTGTGAAATTGTTTGAACTCACCAGGACTCTTCCCGTCAGCGTCTGGGCGGATATCATGACTCCAGCCCAGTCCTTCACAGAGGTCATCCAACCCACCTCGCTCGCCGCAGCATCTTCTCTATCCGCACGCTTGATGCCATCTCCTGTGGTGATGCGGTGTACCTCCTGAAAGAAAACAAAGCAGCCAACATGAGATCACAAATCATCTTTTACCAGTAAATGCATTGAACAAAAAGCATTGGGTGGGGCTATTAAACATCGACTTATTCACCACCATGCTGATCAATCTAAACATGGCTTCCAACCCTGTTTAGACTTTTCCTCTATACATGTGACGAGCAGCAAACTAAATTTAATGGCTAATTGTGGGAAATGTTACTTTGATATTAAGATCCTTTTATGTAAAGGCTTTACCAACAAAACACCAGCAGCACTCATCATTATTTATACAAATAGTAAAATCCTTGTAAGGAAAAAAATATTTGAATATTCAGCTGATTAAAAGCTTCAGATAACAAGAAACAGATTGAGATGTTTCAGGTGATGCAACCATCCATTCACCCAATTTGGGGTAAGTTGGGGTTGCAGAGGAGGTAGGTAAATGAATGCTGAAGCTTCCCCTGGGGGATTGCAGGATGTCCACAAGGCCAGAGTGGACAGACAATCCCTGCAGCAACTTCTAGATATGCCTTAAGGTGGGGATGAGGAATACTGGTCCCTTGAGGGCCGCTGTCCTACAAGTTTTAGTTGTTACACTTCAACTCACCTGATTTTAATCAGCAGGTGATTAACAGGCTTCTGCAGAACTTGATGAGCTGCTAAACAGTTTATTCAGTTTGAGCAGAAAATAAACTAAAACATGCTGGACACTAGCCCTAGAGGACCAGGGTTCCCCACCCCTGAATTAGGGTCTTCTCCTAGAGGAATATTCCTGGACAATAGGCGAGGGTTTGAACAATGGTGGACCAATAAATGAGAAAGGTATTTTCCAATGGTCCATGTTTCACTCCTTGCTTTCATCACTCATGAACACGACACCAAAAAGCTTGAGGCAAACAAACACTTACCCTCCATTCCAAAAGGAGCACTCCACAATTTTTAAACCACGACCAAAGAAATCAAAAACATTATGAAACCAACCAACCAGGTGATCCTTGGTATACAGATCCTTCTAAATAAATTAGCATATTGTGATAAAGTTCATTATTGTCTGTAATGCACTGATAAACATTAGACTTTCATATATATTAGAATCATTACATACAACTGAAGTAGTTCAAGCCTTTTATTGTTTCTAATATTGATGATTTCGGCATACAGCTCATGAAAACCCAAAATTCCTATCTCAAAAAATTTGCATGTAATGACAAGATTCTCGAAACGAGTTATTAACCTAATCTTCTGAATCAACTAATTAACTCTAAACGCCTGCAAAAGATTCCTGAGGCTTTTAAAAACTCCCAGCCTGGTTCATTACTCAAAACCGCAATCATGGGCAAGACTGCCGAGCTGACTGCTGTCCAGAAGGCCATCATTGACATCCTCAAGCAAGAGGGTAAGACACAGAAAGAAATTTCTGAATGAATAGGCTGTTCCCAGAGTGCTGTATCAAGGCACCTCAGTGGGAATGACAAAGTGTGGCAGAAAACGCTGCACAATGAGAAGAGGTGACCGGACCCTGAGGAAGATTGTGGAGAGGGACCGATTCCAGACCTTGGGGGACCTGTGGAAGCAGTGGACTGAGTCTGGAGTAGAAACATCCAGATTCACCGTGTACAGGCGTATGCAGGAAATGGGCAACAAGTGCTGCATTCCCCAGGTCAAGCCACTTTTGAACCAGAAACAGCGGCAGAAGCGCCTGTCCTGGGCTACAGAGAAGCAGCAATGGACTGTTGCTCAGTGGTCCAAAGTACTTTTTCGGATGAGAGCAAATTTTGCATGTCATTCGGAAATCGAGGTGCCAGAGTCTGGAGGAAGACTGGGCAGAGGGAAATGCCAAAATACCTGATGTCCAGTGTCAAGTACCCACAGTCAGTGATGGTCTGGGGTGCCATGTCAGCTGCTGGTGTTGGTCCACTGTGTTTTATCAAGGACAGGGTCAGTGCAGCTAGCTATCAGAAGATTTTGGAGCACTTCATGCTTCTATCATTTTTCTGCACGACCTGGCACCTGCTCACAGTGCCAAAACCACTGGTAAATGGTTTACTGACCATGGTATTACTGTGCTCAACTGGCCTGCCAACTCTCCTGACCTGAACCCCATAGAGAATCTGTGCGATATTGTGAAGAGAAAGTTGAGAGACGCAAGACCCAACACTCTGGATGAGCTTAAGGCCGCTATCGAAGCATCCTGGGCCTCCATAACACCTAAGCAGTGCCACAGGCTGATGGCCTCCATGCCACGCCGCATTGAAGCAGTCATTTCTGCAAAAGGATTCCCGACCAAGTATTGAGTGCATAACTGAACATAATTATTTGAAGGTTAACTTTTTTTGTATTAAAAACACTTTTCTTTTATTGGTCGGATGAAATATGCTCATTTTTTAGATAGGAATTTTGGGTTTTCATGAGCTGTATGCCAAAATCATCAATATTAGAAACAATAAAAGGCTTGAACTACTTCAGTTGTGTGTAATGAATCTAATATATATGAAAGTCTAATGTTTATCAGTACATTACAGACAATAATGAACTTCAACACAATATGCAAATTTTTTGAGAAGGACCTGTATATTCTGACTTATTTAGAGACATTGTATGGTGTCATTTATTAGTCTGCCTAAGTAAGCCAAATATTTCCCCTCATTTGAATGGTGCTGGTCAACAACAAGACCCGACTAAACTAAAATGTCTGCTTTTTTAATGAACGGGTTCACCGAGAAATCCTTGTTCACTATTATAACTTAGGGTTTAACATGCAGGCTGAACATGAAAATAGTCTCCTACACCTATCTCCTGCATTAGCTTCAGATAGAAAATAGATGGAAACACATTCGGTTCAGGAAAGCCTGACAGATCTGCGTCACATTGTCACTCAACGCTCATGGACTCACCCATTTTGACTCATAACAGGAAAAGCTGTTGTTGGTTTTAGTTTCCAGGAAACAACAGAGAACGTCTCGCATAGTAGAAGCTAACAGTTAGCATTAGCAACTCCACCACACAGCAGAAATCCTTGTGGCTTGTGTTATTTGTGGAGATAAGACATCTACGTTGCAGAGCAAACAGAGTCTGTGGTAGAATTGCGTTGCTGTTATCCAATCAGAGGTGAGACGTCAAAATATCAGGAAATAAGACTCCAAATCCTGCTGTCTGAAACCACTTTCTCCTCTGGCTGATTTCTACATCCTCAACTTGGTGCACCGGTGCTTTGTTTCCCCACAGAACAATTTACAAAGCATTAATTCCCTCTGCAAATGGATTTAAAAAATGAGTCTAATTTACCTGTAAATACTAAATCCACTGATTGTTCACCAGCTACCCAAAGACCATTTCCTTTTCTCTTCCACAGATGAACCTTACAAAAAGCATCCAACAAGTTTCTGTTATAAATATTGTACAAAGGAAAAGCTGACAAGTAAACTTCTAAATGTGTTTAAAATGTATCTAATTCACACTAAGAGCTTCCATAAGTTACTGCTAATAAGCCTAGGTGAAACATAAAACAGTAATGCCACATTAAAAGAAATGTTTCATTTGACAGAAAACACTCGAGCAAGCCAACAGGAACCCAAAATCAAAAACTGAAAAACATCTTTCCAAATTTAGTGACCAGGTCCAAGGCCTCCATAATAAACCTACGCACGTTTGCACACATGCATTCAGTAAACATGCAGCGAGAGAAAACTGAAGACACTCCAGGAGTGTATCCATGGCAGCCACAGAGCTCCTGGTTTTTCTGCTTCACTGAGTGGGCTGTCCACCTGTCTGTCTGTTGAACTGCCTGTCTCTTGGACTGTCTGTCTTCCTCCTGATTTTTCCATGTGTCTGGTGGGACTGGCGTGATTCACAAAGCAGGAAATGAAGACAGGAAGCAGAGGGTTATAGTCATCCGACGTGATCAAACAGCCACGAGGCTAACGTCTCTCCATCACCTCCCTCCAACTGCCCCTTCACTCCACTCAGCCTGTGATTTAGTTCAAGGGGATAAATTAATTTCCATGTGGCTGCTATTACCACGTGGCATTTCTACATCATTACAGCTAATTTCAATTGTGGAGTTGGTGCACAACCCGTGTACATGCAACATTTCCCACGTGCAGAACAGGCTAGGATACATCTCTCTCTGTGTAATATGGCAGCTAGCTTCAAAGAACTCCTGGCATGCAGCATGTGTTGTGTTTCCACTCAAACGTAAACCTCCGTGAAGCTGGAGGGTGTGTGTGTGCAGATTTACTGAATTGAATAAAGCAATGAATGAAGCTGTTTAGTGACACAGATATGGGCTAAGCTGTCACGATTACAGAATGAGGGCATTCCTTTGCTGCCTGAAAGAAAAAAGGTCTTTTTTAAAGAGCTGTGTGTACTTCCTCATTCACACAATGATTGAACTCTGCCCGAGTGGTTATTCTTTTCTTAGCCAGCCCCGGGGTTCTGGTCGTGGTGGAGGCCTAGCTGTTGTTTTCAGAGACCATCTTCCATGTAGCTCTACAACCTCTGGTCACGTTGCTTCCTTTGAACTGCAGCTGATTAAAGTCGGGCGTAAGGACTCGTTCTGCTGTGCTGTGGTTTATCATCCACCTGGTCCAAACAGTTCTTTCCTTCAGGAGTTTAGTGACTTTCTATCCTCCACTGTGAAGCTGTCCAGACTGGTGATGGTTGGTGACTTTAACATCCACGTTGATGATCCCTCTGATCACTTTGCCATGAATTTCTCCAGCTTTATGGACACCTTTGGCTTTACCCAGCATGTTTCTGGTCACACACACACACCAGGGGACACACTCTGGACCTTATTTTTTACCCTGGGTCTAAATGCTGACAGTGTTTGTCCTGAGGACATTTATATTTCAGATCACCATTGCATTTTCTTTAACTTGTCAGGTTCTGCATCCCCACCTCCTGCTCGCCGTATGGTTAGTTCTCGTTTTCTTGATGAGAGCCCAGCTAGCAATTTTTCTGCTGCTTTTGATCCACCCTGTTCTTCTGATAACGACTTAGATTCA